AATGATTTTAGAAATATTACCCAAGTAGAATTTTTTATAATAATAAAAATCAGTAAGTACCATCTAACACTCACTCATATGGGTCTACATGGGAAAACTAACCTGTAACCAGTTCTTCCTGTTGCCTTAAAGTACAACATAAAATTACATAATCAATGAATTCAAAGAAAATTTAATGCTAGGTATTTAAAATGTTCATTTCTATACTTTTGACACATCAGCAAAACTACTACTATCCCTTTGGTTATTCTAATTCATTGCATTGCTGACTCATTAAATTGTATTTGTGAATCTACAACTGTTTCCTGTATTTTTTCAGCTCTAAAATGTGGAAGTTAAATTCATACTCCTATGATAATATATTAGTCAAAATTTCTTCAGAAATTATTCAGATTATTAGATTTCAGAGTGTTATCAAGCTACTATAAAATTTGATCACTAGGTTTTAAAATAATTCAAATTATCACTGAATAGAATCTTATTTGCAAATTGCATTAAGGTGACAAAGCTTTTACCTCTCATCTTAATAAATATCCTCTAAACCAAAGAGAACAAAAAACATCTAGAACTCATCATTCTAGAGGTTTATTTACTTAAAATAACTCTTTCATTTTCTACGTGCTATTTCTCCAGAGAGGTAGTGAACAAATCAGTGTCTCTGCTCTGCTCTAGCTCATTGACCACATTTTTCTCATCTTTAAACACAGTTCAGTTCAAACCCCATTGGTTGGACCAGGAAACATCACCATTTGTGGGTGCATTGGGCAGTGCTGCAATTTCATCAGGGCGAAGGGAAAGCTGGTACTGTGGGGGACTGTCCCAGCATGAGGTCTTGAAATGTGAGTGAGGCTGCCAGGGTGGCCTCATGTAGCATGTAATCCAAGGTAAGTACTGGAAGACTAGATTAGAAAAAGAGCAGATAAGACTTTGAGTTTCTCATGTTTGCAGAATAGGATCTTCAGTATAGAGTAGGATTGTTGAGTTACTGGGAAAATCCATAAATAATTTCGTAAATTCTCACCAGTAAGACATGAATATGCAAACATTGCTTCCTTATAAATTCCTGCCCAAATCTACAGTTTCTCACGTTTTACTGAAATATTATTTGTTAAGAATTTCAAAGAGAAAGAAAAGAGATGCCTTAAAAGAGGGAGCCATTATAGGTTTAAAGAGAAATCTGGCACTAGGGAAATGTCCAGAGATCTACAAGGATGACCCCAACTAACAATCTAAGCAACAGTGGAGAGGCTACCTTAAATACCCTTCCGCGAAAATGAGATTGATGACTACCTCATATACCATCCTACAGCCTTGATCCAGTAGATGATGGAATCAAAAGCAGACACCCACAGCTAAACACTGAGCTGAACGCTTAGATCCAGTTGCAGAGAGGGAGGAGTGATGATCAAAGGGATTTTGACCAGGCTGGATAAACTCACAGAAACAGTGTCTGAACAAGGGGGAGCTCATGGACCCAAGATTGATAGCTAGGAAACCTGTCACATGAAAAACACCATCTTGGATCAAATGTCCTGATCTTCTGGCTCTTACAGTGTTTTGGGCCTTTGGTATAGGAGTTGTATTATAGATGTATTTATTGGGGTTAGAAATCCCACTGCCAACTTTTTCCCTCCATGTTTTAAGCAATTATGAATTTCTGTGATGAAATCTATTTGCTGCAAAATCTAGTTTCTTTGATGATGAATGAAAACTATCCTTATCTTGTGAGTATAAAAATGAGTATTTAGAATGCAGTGAGACATGTATAATGGTTCAGGAAAGTGGCAGTAGTAGGTTTCCTCCAGCGTCTATGACACTTGGGGACATTTTGCCAGGCTGCTCATTGTTGTGGTTCATAGGTTTTACAGGTGTGTAGGACCTTCATGGACAACTTGCACAGCAACTTCTGATTTTAGAGCTAGTCCTCAGGGGAGAAGCATCTAAGTCAGTTTCAGCTCAGTTCTTCCAAGTCCTGTGTCTAAGAATGTGGCATCTTCAGAAACAGGGTCTTCACATTCTAGGAGACAACCAAGGGCAACAACAATAGCTTGTATTGTATTGCGTATCTTCCCAGACCAGCAGCTACAAGGAAAATACCATGCTGAGCACTGGGTATCCTTTAGGTGACTATGACTCCTGGGAAAAGCGTCATTAGTGCAAGTGATGTGTGTGTGTGTGTGTTTGTGAATAGTAAATGTAACATATCTATACATATATAGCTTATGTTTATATATACAAACACATAAATATAATATATGCGTGTATACAGCATATGAAATTAAAAACAAAATTAAAACGCAAAGTTTGGTAAGTATGTCATTTAAATTGTCTTCTAGAGTTTTTATGCTTATTGTATTAATATCACTAAGTATCTTTAAATCATTGTAGTCTGGTTTGAAGTTTGCTATGGAGATATCCAATTAACTGTCCCTTTGAATATATTGCTTTTTTGTTTATGGTTGACAAATAGTTCTGTAGATTTTTCAAAGTTTGATAATTTTCATGAATGGTCAAAGAATGATTTTGTGTATCAAAACTATTCATAACAATAATATTTTCTGGATGAAAACAAGAGGCAATAAATCAGAAGGAGAGGCAGAGGGATGTATGAGAGAGATTAGAGGGAGGAAAGAGAAGGTAGAAACATTGTAATTTATGTTTCCGTTCCTACTTGTGGAAGCTTTCATATTTTCTATGTTCTTCACTTTTGTCTAGATTTAAAATTTAACAACTTAAAATGATTATATCTTAATTTATGACCTAGAAACATAGTCTTTGTAGTGTTCTAAAAAAACCTGTGTTCACACAGACAACTACAGTTAAACTCAGTGGGTCTCAAAACAAAAGAACATGGTTGTGGGAAAAACTTGTGGGAGAAGGGGTGGGAGAGTTATGAGGTCTTACAAAATCAGAACTCAATATAAGCATTTATAATACTGTCAAAAATAAAATTATTAAAATATTGAAATACAATATTCAAATTTGCTTTACTTATAAATAGCTACAAACTAACCTCATAATATATGTAAAATAATTTTGTACATTTTTTTCAATTTGGTTGTCAGTTCTGTAACAGATCTATTCATTTTTGTATATAATTTCTAAATTCTGTGTAATATTACCTGCTTGTACTTTGAGTAATTATTTTTCACATTATCAAGTTTGACTTGACCTTTGCCAAAAGTGGAACATTTCTATTAGCACTCTCACAGACTTTCCTCAGTTATCTTCTGAACACATTTGCCTGTCAAAACACAAATGATGTATGTGATATGTTTAACAGATTGCCAATTCTTCCTCTATTTGGTTATTATTTATTTATTCATTCATTCATCTACTTAGTTAGTTAGTTAGTTAATTATTTAGTTTTTTGATACAGGGTTTATGTGTGTTACTACCTGGGTTGTCAAGGATCTTGTTCTGTAGACCAGGCTGGTCTTGAACTCATAGAGACCCTCTTGCCTCTGGCTCCCAAGTACTGGGATTAAAGACTTTGGCCAACACTGCCTGGCTTAGTTGGTTCTTAAACATATAGAACCATTTACCCTTTCAAAGTTGATTTTCTGTCCATCTTATCTGTTTATTTATTTGCTTGTTTGTTTGTGTTTTAGACAGTATCTAACTCTGTAGCCCAGGCTAGCCCAGAACTCACAGTGATCCCCCATTAGGCATTCCAAGTATGTTGGTCACAGTTATTTGCTACCACACCTGACACAAAGCTAGGTTCTACTTTAAAAGAGCTAACATTGTGACCAGTATACTGTTCATATCTTACATGTTTTTTGCTACTTGTAATTACTTTTTTCCTATTCTCAAGTATTGGTTGATTTTTTACTAATAATTTTTTAAATTATTTTTTACATTCCAATCCCAGTTCCCCCTCCCTCCTCTCCTCTTGCTCCTTCCACCCTCACCCCCCACACACACCTGTCATCTACTCCTCGGAAGGGATAAGGTCTCCCTCAGAAGTCTACTAAGTCTATACCATCATCTCATTGAGGCAAGACCAAGGCGCCTCTCTACCCGCATACCCCTGTGTTTAGGCTGAGCAAGATATCTCTCTGTATAGAATGGACTCCACTAAGTCAGTTTGTACATTAGTGTTAGATCTTGGACCCACTGCCAGTGGCCTCATATATTGTCCCAACCGTACCATTGTCACATGTATTTAGGGAGTCTACAGTCATTGATCTCTCACTAGCTTGGGTCAGTTGATTCTGTGGGTTTCCCCTTGATGGTCTTGACTCCTTTGTTCATATTATTACTCCTCCCTCACTTCGACTGTACTCCAGGAGCCGGCCCAATGATTAGTTGTGGATTTCTGCATCTGCTTTCATCTTTTTCTGGAAGAGGGTTCTAGCTTCTCTGGGGATGTGGGCTGTAGGCAGAGAATTTTTGGCTTTATGTCCAACATCCACTTATGAGTCAATGGTTGAATTTTTAATCAGTGTAAAAATACAGATTGAATATAAAATCCTTTGTATTATGTAAACAGAACAGGAATTGTTCATTAAATATTTAATTCTGGTATGGATCAGATTTTCACACTAAAACTTGTAACCACTGTGATATAAGAAATGAATATTTATGAATTTGATTTAGGAGTATGTTAATATTTATCTTTTAATTATTGATAGCTGATAATTAATGTTATTTGTATATTATACTGAAATTATTGTTTACTCAAATAACAACTCACCAATACACCTATAGTATTCTAAATGAGTGGATAATGGGAACTCCAATAATGTCCAAGAGAAATTTTTATAGTTATGAATCTATACATACATTTGTATAAACATAGGTACAACAGTTAGTTGATTTATGAACAGGTACATCAACTATTAGTTTAGGAGCAGCAGTGAACACAAGCAGGATTAAACTATAAATGTATTTGCAATTTAAATTGTAAATTGTGGTCTTCATTGTGCAAACCAAGTCTTTTTCTGTTCATGTTAGCTAATAGTTTCACGTTTATTTACTTGAATTTTCTTTTTCAGGAAATGTGCCCAGAAAGAGTTCTGAGAGCTTCTCCTCTTCTCTCCTACTGTGACTAAACATGACACTGCCATAATTTGTAAGTTCATCTGTTTTTGTCTTAAGTCTTTCTGATACAGACAACTGCTTTCCGCATTTGGATGTAGAGTTGAGTTTTTTTTAATTAGGCTTTTAATTGGTTTTATTTCTTTCAAGCTTTGTTTTACCTTAACTTTATCTTATCTAAGTAATGGCAAAAGAGCATTTGTCTGTTAGATTAACTCTGTTTGTCGCTATTAGCCAATACTTTAATGACTCATAATAAGATCCTTACAAGCTGCTGAGCTAATTCAAAGAGATGGTGCTGTCTAGAATGCTGATTTGTCCTGGACAAACACGTTTTAAATTATCGCACCCTTGTTTCAGTGAACAAATAGAACTTTATGTGCAGAAACTGTCATTGGAGGCTGTATTAAGGTAGCTAAAGACTATTTTTAGGAAAAAAATGATTTTTATTTTGCTCCTTATCTTTAGATTTTGTAGTCATGAATTTTAATATGCATCATCATGTTATGATAAGCACTACATAGCTTTGATATCTTAGACTAGATGAAAAATGTAAATTTCAAGGAACAGTAGTTTTTCCAGATGTTATTTGCTGTGAAAGTTTTGCACCTGCTATTTGCAACCACTAATGATGGAACTGTCTACTTGGCAAGTAGGCTCAAATGTTGGATCATTGTATAGAAACCTATGCAGTATTTTAGAGAGCATAAGTTACTTTAAAAACATAATAAAGATATGCATGTGTTTACACCATGGTCAGTTTACTAGCTCTGACCTCTAAAATAAAATAAGATTTAGCCTGAAGGATAATTTGAGGGGAAAATATATATTAATTCAATATGAGATCTTCCAAGATTAAGAGTATATTATTTCAGTTCTGTAAGTTGTTATCTGTTAATCAGTGTTGGTTTTGATTTTTTGCAAGTCAAATCTGGATTACAGCACAATCTGGTAACTTTCACAAAATCTAAGCCCGTTCTTAACAAGTCTCACTCACACTTTAACCTGTGGATTAAAAAAATCAGTGAGTGAACTGCCACAGATGTTCTCATGACATGAGTAATTTAATTAGGGGCATGAAATATAAACAAGCTTAAGATGGATACAAAGGAAGGAGGACACGAGTATTGTGACAAAACATCTCATCTATGGTCCCCAGTAACTAACCATTCATTAATATGCCTTTCTCTGAGGGCTTAGGGATGAGCAAAGGAGACCTTTGACTTCTAGAATGGAGCTACAATAATTTGATCTAATTAGAATTAATCTATTCAAGTTTATTAATTATCCGTTTTTTAAGAAGTCACAACTCTCTTCTAGTTGCTCTTCTCTCAAAAGCTGACTAAACTCCGAAGGTAATACATATCAAAACAGACTATTATTCTAGTAATTAGACAATGTATGGCTTTGGTTTAGAAATATGTATCTTCTAGCTTATACTGATTTTATACAACATTCTCTGCTAGAAATTAAGTAGATACTAAATCATCATTTTCTTGGTAATTTTAATTTCATAAATCAAATTACATGACAGTTTATTCTAAGAACATTGAAGGAAGAAATAAAGATGCAAAATTTCAGTGCTGCTTCTGAATCTTCCTATAATCTCATTTGTGTGGAAAAATGTTTTGCAAATATTACATAGAGAAGGGGAAAGATCAAGAAAACTACAAGCACTTATTGAACATTACATCAAAATCAAACTCACAAATCAACATGCTGGGAAGCAGTCTTGAAGTTTGGAATCTCCTTGTTTACATGAGGAATGGTAGTTTATAGATACCTCTCTCACACACCTATGAGGAAGATGCTGATACATTTGAAATACAGTCTTGTGTTTTATTCTCAAGAGCACCTTTGAAAACTACTGGGAGGATCTGCCACCTGTGATCTTGCTTAGCTGCCACAGGGAGAGACCCTGAAACAAATTTAAAGGCATTTGCTAAAATGAGCATTGATTGTCTGGGTATCTCAATGTGCAGAATGGCTCACAATTGCTGCCATTTATAGCCTCATATAAATATAACAGAATCAGAGCCATTCAATTTCCCATTTCAAAGCTCTGAAAGAACTTAACAATTCTTGATATCACAACCTCAGGGAAATATGAATAACATTTTCTTTTCTTTAAAATAATCCCTTAATTGAAGGGAATCTCTTTGAATGTTACTGTCTTTAATTTGTTTCCCCTGTATAATTAATAACAGTGACTTTCTGTTTCATTTGTCTTAATGATCACATAAACAAATCTGCCTTTTGTCCTTCTCTGAATTTGGTACTGAAGGGTTTTATGCACCAGTGCTTCTTAATATACATTATAAAATTAACCCTGTTACACTTTCTTATGTAGCAGAATATATGAAACCACTAAAGGAAATAGTTGGTCTTAAAATGAGTTTCTTTTTCTAATGTTATTATCAAGAGGAAAGATATTTTGGGAAGGGAATCTACAACATTTTAACTATGTAGAATATAATATAGACAGTCAGAACATCTTTTTGAATGTATTTTGAAATATCCATAATATCAAATATTTTAACATTCTGGCCTGGGCTTGTTGAATGGAAAGAGATCCTGAAATTTTTTGCATAGTAACAAAATTTTACATATGTATCAATTAGCTAATTATATTCTGGCTTGTTCCAGTCTGGAATTCCCTGTTTGCTATTCTGTATCTGTTCTTGATTGAGTTCCTTGTACAAACCAGACTGTTTTATTTGTGCAGCTCAGAACACTGGTTTCCATCTCTGTGAATCAAAGTGCTATTGATGTTAAGTGCAAGAGTTTGACTGTGCTCTGATGATTGCTTGCAAAGTAGAACTGTGGTCAAATTTCAGTCACTGGCTATGTAAAAGACAATCTTCTATGCTTTGCAATGCTGCAGAAAACTCTTAGTCCTTTAGAGACATCAAGAGGAGAGAGTGGGCTATTTACATGTCAGATTTAGCAGTTCTCAGCTTAAAATCAAAGTGGTTATACGTCTTGCTGAAGTCCTTGTCGTGTTCTTGGTAGGAAAGTGGTTGGACGTAGAGACAGAGCTCCAGACACGACACAAAAGCAGCCCGAAGAGGTTTCGTTTCACATTCAAGGCTTCTTCCTCTGAGCACCTCTTCAGTGAACCTGAACTGATCTTATAAGACCCCATTCTTTTAGCAAGAGGCCGGGGACACCGCTTACGATATTTATTGTGTGAGAGACAGATATGGGAAAGAGCCCGTGTGTGTGTGTGTGTGTGTGTGTGTGTGTGTGTGTGTGTGTGTGTCTGTCTGTCTGTCTGTCTGTGTATACATGAGTGTGTGCCTGGGTATGGAGGCTAGAGGTCAATGTCATGTGTCCTCCTCAATCGCTTCTCCATTCCATTACTTTTAAGAATAATTTTGTTTTCAATTATAAACATATGTTAGTGGGGTGGGGTTTGTACATGCATGAACAGGTGTCTAGACAACAGCATAAGATATTCTGTAACTTGGGTTCAAGCAGCTGTGACATGGCTGATATAAGAGCTAGGGATCTGAACTCAAATCATTATGCTTGCATAGTGGGTTTGTTAGCACTGACCAAGTCACCTGTATTGTTCCCAAATATAAATCTTTTGTTCTAAAATACATGGTTATGTGGAAGATGACTTTGGTGTGGTGTGAACTCAGATAAAGGCAGAGATCAACTATGTCCTTCACCAATTCCTTCTCAGTATTTGAAACAAACACTTTTGGTGAACTTATTTTCTCCATCTTATGTTAGGTCTTCATCTGACCTGGAACTATTACCTCTGTTTCATTGTTTTCCCCGATTAATTGGTAATTAAGTCACTACAACTCATCCTTCTCACTCACCTTTTCTGACATGTAATTAAGTTTGTTGTTTCTCCTCCCTTGTCCACACTCTTTCTTCTTATACTTTTGTTACTACTATTCCTTGTCCTATGTTCTTTTTCTTATATCCTTACCCAACCCATTTCCCTAAGGCCTTATTTGGTGCAGTCTTCTGAAATCATTTCTAGTTTCCTGACCTTTTCCAGTAACTGCCAGGATAGACATGGTTGACAGAGTCTAGGATCCGCATGGGGTCTTTATGTTTCTGAGTTTGGGTTAACCAATTAATATAATGTTTTCCAGTTCATTCCATTTTCCTATCTTGTTTATAATGATATATTTCTTTAAAGTCAAATAAAATTGCACTGTGTATATACATGTACTATATTTTCAGTATTCATTCATTTATTGACAGATATCTAGACTGAATCTATTCCTTGGAATTGTGAACAGAGTAACAAAAAATTCAGATATGAAGGTGTTCCTATATTGGAAAATAGGATCCTTTGGGATATGTCCAACAGTGTATAGCTGAATCATGTGGTCATTCTAGTTTTAGTTTTTTTTATTTGTGTTTTAGAAGCCTCCACACTGATACCCATAGTGGTCAAGCCAATAACAAAGACGTGTTCATCTTTCTCCATATTTTCTCCATCTTTTGTTGCCATTTATTTTCTTGATGGTGGCAATTTATTACCATAGGTGAGATATCATTGTAAAGTACTTTTAATTTTCTTGACTTGATGGCCAGATTTGCTGAGAATTTTTAAAAATATGTATTGTTCATTTTCATTTCTTTCAATGTCTTTATGGATGGGCTTATTTATGGATGGGAAGAGATGAGGTTTTTTTCTGTATTTGATTTTTACATTCCTTTACATATTCTGTATATTACCCTCCTGTCAGAAGTATAGTTGGCAGATTTTCTTCCATTCTCATACATACAAATTTGTGTAATTATAAAATCAGGTTAAACATTTTCATCAACCTGTGGTGAAAGCTTTAAAAAGGTTTCCTTCCATAATCCTCTGATTTGGAGTACATTTTCCACATCTGCTCATCCTCCTGTGTAGTATCACCCCAGGGTATTCTATTCTATTCTATTCCTTTCCTATTGTAACTTGGTATCAATAAAATGTACAGTCCTCAAAAGTTGATAAAATAAATTTAATGACATAGGTAATTGACATATGATGTTAAATGAGTTTAAGTGAAAATAGTA